TATATTAAACGCAATTGAGAACAATTCACCGTATACGACTGTCACAAAGTGAACTTAAGTCTGAAATCAATGATGGGTAAACAAGACACCCGATCGGTTGTTGTTTTTAAAATTGGTATTAATTCTAGATTTTAGAAATAAAACTACATATGGTTATGATATTATTGTACATATTAAAATATTGAATAATATACTACTTTTCCTTCATAAGACACACACTATACCAGTACACGAGTACACCACTTATTCATGCACGTCACCGCATGCGTCTAAATATAAATATATTCCGATTATTAATTATTAATTACCAATTTACTAATGTGACAATAATTTCTTAGTATACAATATAATATTTTTTTGAAATGTAAAAATAAGTTCGGTATTTCTGTAATAAAATATATAATGGTTAAACAGAATAACAACCGGGCACCGGCCCATCAGGCTGCTTTTAAAATCAGACAGGCAATTGCCCACCTTGCGACTCCCCAAATAACGCCACAGAGTCGACGGTTCTATGTGTAGGTACTCTGAAGCATATTACTCTATGCTCTGAAGACATACATATTATCACTGAATTTAAGACTCAAAAGTTATAGAAGCTAAACATTTTAAATCGATAAAATATGCAAAAGTAGGTTTACGTATTCTTTAAAATCAAATACAAAATCCAACATTAATAATTATCATACGAGCTGTCATAGTTGTATACTAATAGCTAATAAAAAAAATAATTATCATTTATCAATAAATATTAATTCATATTTTCGTCGTCAGTCGGTAAGACTTAGATAGTTATTATCTTCATAAAGATAATATTAGTTAAGTAGGTATCTATCACGGATAATATAGTACCTATCTATCTAGGCACCAGGCATTTACTTCCAGTTTGTACACACTACACCTAATGGCCACACGGCACTACCTAACTAATCGACTTAATTAAGTAGGTAGTTACATTTTTAACATTTTTAACATATTTTACTTGTTAACTTCAGGTCAATTTTTATCCTAACCATTAATTTATAATTTTAATGTTTTATAAAATATTAGATGGATATCATAATTCATAGAAATGTCCAAAAATATACAGGAAATGAATAATTATTGCTTATTGTGATTTGTGATTAATGACTATATTTTCTATTTATATATAGACATAGGCGTAACTAGAGGATTGGATATTCACATGATTTCTCTAGTAGCGATTTTCTTATTTTGTTGCAATTCAAAAACGAATTACTATAGACACTTGCAATTTACACCAAATGTTTATTTCATCAATTCATATACTTGATAAAATTTTCAAAATATTTTGACTCGTTTTAAGCTGTTGACAGAAATTTTCAATTTCCATTTTTTTTCATTTTTTTTTCTATAAATGTCAATAAAATTGTATTGATTGAGTCAAAAAGCATGACAATTTAATACAAGACTATTGATAAATTGTTAGTATAGCAGTTGAAAAATTTTAAAAATACATAGGCACGATTTTTTCTTATAAACATTTAAAGTTCAAATGTTGACAATATTTATAAAATTGAAAATTTTTAAACAAGGTTCCACTTAAGCAGTTTTTTCCGTAACTAAAAAATCTAAGAAATTTATAAATACAGTTATTTTTTACAGACATTTTAAGTTCAAATTTGGACAAAGTTACTTATTAACACAAAGAATAACGTTAATCATTTTGTTGTAATTATCGGTTCCAAAACAGCTTATAATTTTACATAGGTATATTTAATCTTTTTCAGGCATCACTGATAATTTAAGAAAAATATTAATTGAACTTACCAGCTACCATAGTTTATAGTAAGTAATAACAACATAAAATATCCTAGACTGACATACCGTCTCCACTCAGAATCGTTTTTCGTATGGGTACAATGATATGATATCATTGAATTCAAATTTAATACCATCCATTACAGACCTAATTTCTAGACCTAATGTACAGCAGAGCGAAATCCACTTACGTGCTTTTTTTAAAATTAATATCGATAAAAAAATGTTTATTCTGTAAAAAAACTTTAAAATGTAACACGATGTTGCTCCTAAGTTGTTGTTAGTGGAAATATAAAAAAAGTTCACAGTAAATCCACAATATTTTTTTTATGCGCGTCTGAATTTCAAATTTTGACAAAATACGTAATAAACATCACGAACATGTGCAAATTATTTTAAGTTATAGAAATGCTTAAGAAATTTTCTTTTTAACCCTTAGATTTAAAATGTAATACAAGATTCCTAATGCATTTGGATACTTTTATCAAGTACAAATGTCTACCGGAAAGTCAAATTCAATTTTTGTTCAAATTTTTACAACATTTGATATTCAACGATTATCTTATTTTGTCTTTGTTAAAAAGCGAATAACCGAAGGTATTTGAAATGTAGTATGTACACAAAATGTTTGTTTTATCATTTTTTATACTTGAAAATATTTTGAATCGTTTAGAGCTGTTTACGGACATTATCAATATTCAATTTTTAAAATTTTTTTTTAAAATAAATGTCGATAAAACTTTGTTCGATAAGTCAAAAAGCTTGAAAATGTAATACAAGGCTCCTGATATATTGTTAGTTGTTACAATATTAGTTGAAAAATATGAAAAATACATAGGTCCGATTTTGTTTTATAAATATTTTAAGTTAAAATTTTGACAGCATTTATCAAATTGAAAATTTACAAATCATTTTGTAGTTAAATATTTATAAAATTTTAAACTTCTATAGCTAAGGATCAGAAATTTAAAACAAAGTAGCACACAAGTAGTTAATACATGAATACAGTTTTTATCGTTTTTTTCTGATCAAATTTGGAGGAAATTACATTTTATTAAAAAACCAAAAATAATGGTTTAAGTTATTTTGTTATAATTAAAAAATATTATCCATGGATAATTGAAACATTTAGAGTTTATTATTATATTTTATACATACAATGACTTTTAAAGTGTAATGTTTTTGGCAAACTAATTTAACCTACGATAGTACCTACTAAGAACTAAAGCTAAATAGTAAAATAAATAATAATATTCACAATAATATCGTCAAATATATTAAATTAATAAGTAATAGCTTATACATCTTTTAGGGCTTCAGGCTGACAGACCGTAATTTTTTTTTTTTCAATGATTTTATGTTTTAAATTTAACATCATTCATTTGTAATCTATTCAGCAGAGCAACATCCACTTACTCACTTTTCTCCTTAATTTTTTATTTGTTTTTCCCTCCGCTTTTGAAAACTATTGAGAATTGTTTACTTTAAACCTCCCCCCCTCCTTTACTCAAATTACCAACTAGATTCACTTAGATTTACCAGATAAGATGATATTAAAGAAACTCCCGAATCAAAGTATATTTACTGCCCCAAAAGGTGATGGCAGACACAAAAAAAAACCACACACACACACATCATTGTATACCTAATCAATACATTCATTGCTCCACTCGGAGTCTAAAAAATAACTTATATGATGAATTATAAGCAGGGATTGAGTGGCATGCAATTAATTTTATCTTTAGAAAGGAGAGTAGCTCATGAAATGATAAAACTATACTTTTAAAAAGTACAAATTATTGTAGAACCGTTTTCATTTTTCTTTGCTCAAAATCTAAAAATTGTTTTGAGGATATATCTCCCATAATTCCCAGACAGAGTTACTATACTCAATTTTTTTTTAAAACAAGTGAGAAAAGTGAGTATTATTTTCAATTAAGTGAGTAATATTATGGTAAAAGTGAGTATTTGTATAATTTAAGTGAGTTCTTATAATAACAAATATTTTTAAAAAATTCAACAGTTTTAAATACTTTCACTTGTTTTTAAACTGTTTATTATTTCCAAGTTGTAACATAATATTAATAAAAACAATTATTTTCAATAAATTGTACAATAATAGTGCTATGTTCAAATTTTAAAAAGCTTTTAAGCTATTAAGTCCATGGCAAATTCATGTTTCCATGGTAAAGTGGATAGGTATTCATTATGATACTAAGATATTATTTTCATAATTATATATAATATATATTATACATACATATTATACATGAATCATATATTCATACGGTTAGGCTTTTTTTTTAAATAAAAAATATAAATTTAATAAAAATAGTTCCAAAACATAATTTGATTTTAAATTAATATAAATAAACCTATAAAATATACCTACTTTAAAAGAGTATGAGGTCTATTTATTACATTCCTGGAGTAAATTGTTATTTTAAATTATAAAAATGTCATTTAATTTTAAAATAATACAAATAACATATTTACCACAGTTTTTATAATAATAAAAAAAAAGTAGCTTAAAAGTTATTACATAAACATATAGAACAAGGCAAACAAAGGAACAAGATTATACATAAAACAACTACAAGACTCTGATAAGGAAACTCAATAGAAAGTTGAATCACTCACGTCAAAGTTATTATAAAGAAAAAAACAGATAACATTTAAATATTTAAACATAGAAACACAAATTAAAATTATTTTATATAAAGGCTTTTATAGACTTGTATTTAGTATCTAACAATTTGCCACCTTTCTTCTCTAAAAATAAAATGAGTTTAATAATTGTTATAGTTACAATTTTACCATTGAATTTTCAAACATAGATGGAAGGAAATATATAAATACATTAATTCTACGAATTTATGAAATTGAGAAGAAAGTTAATAGGAAAAAATTAGTAATTTTTTTCAATAAACAATTTATGACATAGTAAGGCACCGTAAATGTGAATTTTGATTTATTGTTTAATTTAAATTTGTGTTTTCGTTGTTTATAATTATCTTATACAATTGTTCACCATTATGATTTTAGATGCAAATAACTTTCAAATATCTACCTTTTTTATTTTTTTTTTTTTAAGCTTCGACAACTGAGGCCATTAGCTGTAGATTGTGGTACTGTAGGGTTTTTGGAACTGTAGGGTTGGGACATGTGTGTGTATGTTTGGCAAAATTTCTAGTGGGCACCCATAGGTTTCTGCCATGCCCGGTTGGGGGATGGCGGCCTCTCTCTCCAGACACCGTGACTGCCCGGAGAGAAGTGCCGGCCGTGACCGAGGTTCGAACTGGCGACGGTGCGCGTTGTAACCGACGCGTTATCCGTCCCCCTATCTATCTTTTTTCTCTAACAATGTTTTCTACATATCATATATCTGAACGTTTATCACATTTCTCTATCAAACTTTACATATGTTTTGAACTTAAATCTGTTTAATACTCTTTTCACTTTACTGATTTTCATTGTCAGCATTTTTTTCTGAATATAAATACTTTTGCAACACACATGGTCAAACAATACCTATAAGCAAAAAAAATTAATTAAGACTCGGGGTAACATTTTAGCCAATAATTAACGAAAATCTAACACTATTCTAATATCATTTTTTGTACAAATAATTTAAGATAAGAATATTATCTGTATTACTGGCATTATTGTTTTAAATAATTAATTAATTTAACTTTGATTTTTTTTCAAATTCATGGTTTTTTTTTTTTTTTGTATAGGTAAAGCACAATTAATAATATAAATAATAAATAAATGTACATATATGCAATAAATTAATGTTGCCTTGCTTTAGGAACTGAATCCTTATTAATATCTCGATGATATTTGTAAAATAAAAGTTATTATTTATTTATAGTTTTAAGTTTTAATGTTTGATTTTTATCCATTTGTCAATTATATCAGGTTGATCATTTTAAAAAAAAGGTACCAATTATTTATTTTTTTTTTAAAAAAAAAAAAAAATTTATTTTTTTTTTAAAAAAAATAAAATTACTTATTTTTATTCTGGTAGATATTCTTCAAGCAATAATTCAAGTGTTTTTGATTGAAATGTACAAATATCCATGTTCATTGTAGCTACATTTGAGAAGAAATTGCATATTAAAGGTTGTTTACCAATCAACAACTAGCTCAGCACCTGAATCAAATGATGGCATTTATTTTAATTAAGAATATTAATAACCAATACATCATTGGTAAATGTTATTTAAAATTATACAATAACTAGGGTTCAGAATTTAAAACACGAACAAATACAACAGTAAAAACTAAAAGTGTTAATAAACACACTACTATCAGTTAAATGTGTTCTAATAAATGGATTTTATAAATTAAAAATTTTTTATATACTTATCCAAATATCTCTTAAAAAAAAGAGAGACTACAGAATTTATTTCTGATGATTAGGCTTATAATAGGCACGTGATATACAAATAATTGTAGGTAATTTATATCATTGTTAAATATTGTACCTAATTTATTTTCAATTCATTATAATTTGAGTGAACTGATTACAAGTCTTAAAATGTCTATTAATGGTAGGTAAGCTAATTATCTCATTAATTTATGAATTTTTTCTTGTTTGAAATATTTGTTCTATAATGATAATTTAGAAATTATAATCAATGATTTATGATGCAACAAGACGAGCACATCAAATATCAGATAGCAAAAAGGAATACATTCAATTTTCTTCAGTAACCTTAGTAGGTACTCCACAAATAACACATTATGAAATATGTAAGAAACATTAAGCATTGTACCTATTGGATAGTAAAGATCAATAATTAGTTAGTTCATATGGTACCATTAACAATGTTCAGCCAACACACTTGCTCTCTTACTCAGTTAATTAATTAGGCAAAACTAAAATGTCTAAAATAACAACTAAACATGGATCTGAATTCACAGATCTATAGCTATTGGTACCTACTACCTACTAGTTATAGATCTGTGGCTAAATGTGATCGAAATTGTAGCTCTCTTCCACAATAAATTGGGCAGCCTTGTGACCATCGAAACTTTGCTGCCACTGCAGACAATAGCCAGTAAGGTCTGTATGGACAACTATGGAGGCTGTTTAGCGGCTGTTTTGGTTGTCATAAATGAGTAAACGACAATGCATAAAAGGCCGTATTGGTCAACTACTGTGAACATACGATTCTCGACTTGTCATCGATATTGTGGTAACCACATAGAGTAAGGGTAACCACCGAGCTGGTGGACTGATATCAAGTCTTAGATATCAGTCCACCATGGTAACCTTAAGTCCATAAAATACATCGTGATAATACGTAATTGCAATAATTACAATAATCTGTACTATTTTGTATTATTGTATTTCTGTGAAATAAATAAAAAGTTATACTGTAAATTAACAATTATTTTTTATTGTAGCTTTTAGTGTTGACTGTTAAACGTATTGCCTAGTCCCTCGATATTTGACACGGGATCATGTTGAATACTAATATCGTTTAAAACTAACAAACTTGCAATATTATTTATTGATAGTTCAATTTTTTTACCTTTTGCCGCCTCCAATACATATTTTCTAATGGTACATTTTTTACATAGTGTACGGCACTAGTTACCAACCATTTCTCGAGTCGTCAACTCAGATTATAATTATAATTGCTCTACCCATCGAAAATTATTTGGGTATGCTTTTTACAAGATAAAAAATATTTGATATTGTGTTTTTTGTTGTGTTTCGTCGTATACTAATACAAATTAAATTTTCTTCTAGGATTTCATTGATGTTTTTCAACTTGGACCCTTTGACATATGAACATTCCAGAACAAATTGAAATTGGACTAAAAAATATCATTGAAAAGTTTTTGTTGGTAAATTCAAATATATTGTTAATTTGTTTGTACGATGTCGTATGCAAACGCTTTATCAAAAAATCTGACAAAAACACCCTTTGAGTTTAAAAATCTACCTGATGAGAAAATATTGTTTGTAATAGATTCATATGCATTGTCTAAAATTGACATTGATTTCAGTCCTACTAATATAGATTCAATGTCTAGTGTGGCAATAATTCGAAGAGCATACAGATATTTTGCATTACAGAAGAATCGGTTCCAAAATAACTCTTTTGGTATTTGTCTGTTAACTCCACACTCATTTAATCTAGTTATGGATTTTACATCAAATATTAATGTTGTGATTGAAAAATTATCATCCATATTGAATCAAAATGATAGACCTGAAGAAGTTGCTGCATATGATTTCGGTCCTTTGTTAAAATATATTGGAAAATTAAGGAATCTTCACAAAGATTGTATATTTAGAGTTATCATGACTTATAACAGAGATGACTGTTTACCGATTATTGAACCACTAGACAAAAAGACGTTTAATATTTTCTGTTCACCAACATTTTATTTCGATACCGTTTATGTCTGTGAAAATAATATTGAAACAGATGAGATGGCTCAAACTATTTATGGTAAGTTGGCTCTATTGTGTAGTACTTGGTCTCAAAAAATATGTGTCCAACGTAAACCAATGGCTATTTTAAATGGAATTACATCACTGTTGCCTCATCCCTATACAAGAGAACTTACCACAAAATGATAATTGTTTTATTGTTAAAAATATTTACAGTTAAAACATGTATATTATAAGTAAACCAAGCCTGATTATTGAGTATAAAATGTATTATTTAATTTCTTACATATTTTTTTATCTTTATGTACTTATTATTGTTACCTAATAAAACTGTTGTAAAGATGAGAACTCAATTGGATTTTTAATACTAAAATAAATAAATAAACTTTTAATGTAATATTCAATTTACAGGTTCATGATTATTTAATATTAATATCTGCTTAAAATTTTTTTTTTAAATATTTACTTATTTCAAATTATTTGTGCTAAAATTATAAACAAGCCATAAATAATGTTGTGTTTGATCGCTATGAATGTTCTTTTACTATATACTATAAATCAAATCAAAAAGTTATTGAAATATAAACTTGTATAATGAAATTTTGTTTTAATTTTATTCCGTTTATAATGATTATTAAGCAAAGATGATGTCAAAAGAAATTTAAGGTCAATAAATTCAAAGTTGTCAGTTATAATTCATTTATTTTTGAAACCATGAAAGGATAGCATCAAAAATAGTAGTACTGCTTCAATCTATAGTAACCCATCGCCAATTATTATAGTTAGTTGTTTAAATATGTTTCGGGAACAAAACCCTAATGATATGGCATCTGTCACTGTGTTTAGAATGGTAAGGTTACATGTTTTAAATTATAATTCTGTCAATGGCCATTATGTATTTTAATGACACAAAAAACATTAAAAAATGACCTTAAAATAACCTAAAAAGGCCCAAAAGATATCTTAAAATATTATAATTATTAATTAATACTTCAGTACAAAACTATTTAAATTATAATATCATGAAAACATTTAAAAAAAAACCTAAGTTAAGTTTAGTGGTTTTATGAACACACTATCTTTAAAATTGAAATATTGGATATGTTATTATTTCTGTTACAAATATATAACTACTATCGACCACATCTAGTATAAATGAAAATATATAAAAATATTACACAGATTTCAAAAAAGTACTAAAATTGTCCCTAAAATACAAAAAAATGACTTAAAAATGCTAAAAAATAACCACAAATTTAAAATAAAAACTATAATTGGACTCGTAGATGACCAAATAAAAATTTTTTGTGATTGAAAGCTATATCCTGTAAATCCTAAAATAAAAGTGCAAAATCCTATACCAACTAGTCTTAGTAATGAGTAATGACTTATAAATTTGAGGCTTGAATTGGAAAAAAAGTTAGAAGGAGGATGCAAAAGTGTAAGAAATATGTGCGTTCCTGATTATTTAAATATCTTATTATACCATATAATTAGAAGGGATAAATATTTTCTAAAATTAAGAGGGACCTCCCCTCCCAACTCCAGCATTATACATTATAATACTTATTTAACTAATGGTTTAAGGTTAACAGACTTATAGTCATAACTCATACGTCACAAGTATAACATGTTATAAGTTGCAAGTTTTCTCAATATTCAATTTAAAAATGGCTCTGGCTTTGGCCCATAAGCATTATTTTTATTTAAAGCTACATTTATGGCAGCAAGTAAATTTTTGCAATTTTTCAGTTGATATCAATACATTTAAGTTTGAATCACAATTATTGTATTATTATATTTTTTTGATTTTATTAGAAAATGTATTAATAATTGTGTAGAACTAAAACATTGGTTTACATCATTTTTCTGTCCTTGCACAAATGTGAAATTTCTATTACAATAACAATATAAGTTACAGGCGTTACAGCAGCATCATGATTCATAAATGCGTTTTCATGGTAGCCTCTCGATTCCTAATTTTGATAGTATTTCAATATCCATCGTTTATAGATCAGAGCGGTGTTTTCAAATTTTGGGTAGCTTGGCAGCCGTGAATGGTCAGGTATTGAGAGTTTACCCTGGGTCTCTGTAACACATGGTGTACCACCAAATGGCCTAGGCAAGCAGACTTAGGAGAAATGCTGTATGAGCTGCTCCCCAGGTATTGAACACTGGGTCGAATTCTCAAAAAGGATTGCTCTGCTCCTATTATGTCAGTATAGTGTCTTAATCTCCTAGGCATCATTAGTGCTAATCTCAAGGCATGGTTTTGTGTAGAAGGGCACCTCAGGAATTTGGCCTCGGTTGATTGTAATTTCACCGAGGAGGACTTTGAACTGAACCCATGCAGCAGCCCTCTGACCAGCTCAACAAGCGTTGGCACGGAGAGCTATAAGCATAGAATGGGGGGTCCAAAGCCCTCTAGAATTTCGTGTAGCGCTCCCCTCACCCGTAAATTTTTTTCAGTTACGTTTTTAGAATATATTATGTTGTTCACCAGATACATAATAGAGTATAGCCCCCCTATATAAATTCATTACGATACGCCACTGTGGGCCTAGGTCAGCGAGTCCCGTACACAAAGTGCTCGGATCGGGCTCGTCTGTATCCTCAACCTCAAGACGAAAACAGGCTGGACGGACTGGCAGTAGGTCTAGACTCTGGGGGCAGCTAGACGATTGGGCTGACCGTGCGACGTGCGTACTGCGCTTTGGCCGTCCGCGACTGGCGACGGATCTTATCATGATACTTATTAACTGTGTACTGTGTAGGACTAAAACATTTGGCTTACATCAATTTTTCCGTTCTGGTTTAAATGTGAAATGTCCATGATAGACATTAGACGATGGTATAAGTTATAACAGCTCCATTTTCGTGATAGCCATCGACTTCAAATTTTTTTTTCAGGTCATTCGTTTCGTGGACCGTGATAACCAGATAACACAAAATACGTGTCTATTGTCCTGTGATAGAACGGTTTCATTGGTATTTTATAATTGTTCCCAACTTCAAGGTAGTCATATTTTAATCATTGCCGCTGCGGTAATTCATGTTATCAATATACACGTTATACAAATTTTTTTTTTTTAAATACGATTTTTCGTAATATAATGATAATCACATCTATTCTGTGGTTTAATGTTGTACTTGTATTGAATATTTGATTTGTATTATATGTCCGCAGTGATTTCTTTATGCATGTGTATTTATAAATGACTGATCAGTTTTCAGTGTTTCATACTGGAATTCGATTTCTTGGCTGTAGGTAAAAGTGAGTGCTGAAAGTACTCGGTAAAAAACCAATTTTTCTAGTCGTATAATGAGTGTTTGACAAATCTTTTATTATATAATTAATTATTATTAAAAACTGTTTTGTAAAATTTGTTCTAAAATTGTATTACCTACAAGCTTATTAATACGTATTTCAAAAATTAATTTGTCACCATGAACTTCATATTAAATTTGACGATTTCTTTATCTTTACTCTCAATCGGGAGCTGCATAAGATGGCATATGCAACCCAACAGTAGAAAATGTCTCAGAGAAGAACTCAGGGAAAATATATTGGTCAAGGGTGTGTATGAAGTAACTCCGGTTGACAATCAGCAAGTAGACTATGTTGTAAGTATATTTAATAAATTTAAATAAGCAGCTAGGTACCTTTGATTCGATTTGTTTTACAATTTACATTAGTTATATTATATATTTATATGAACAATTCTCTGTAGCAAACAATTTGTAAAACGCAATTTTAATGTGTAGTTGAAAAAACATTGACTTACTGGATTTAGTTTAATAATTTACCTATAATCATTAAGTACTAAATAATGTTCCTTTCTTTATTTTATCATCATTTTTAAAAATATTTTTTAATAACAATATATATTAGGTATAAAAACATCAATCAGGTAGCTCAATTTACACATTTTTATGTTTAACTAATATTTATTAATCATCACCCTAACAATAGTAGAACTCTTTAAAAAATTTATTTCTTTTGTACCTTCGTACATATATTTATTTATTGATTTATAAGTATCTAAGTTTCAAATTTATCTATTAAACAGTTATAAATCTGTTGTAAGTCTGTAACATAAGTTACATCCTCCTATTTTTTCTGAGATTGACTAACACAAATAAGTATTATTATTTAATGTTTGATAAATAATACATTAATATTATTCATAGGTTAGAGATTCAAAAAATCATATATTGGCACAGAAAGAAGATATAAGTTCTGGAAAGTTTACATTTAGTGTAGAAAATTATGATATATTTGAAATATGTTTTTCTTCAAAAGTTTCAAGTAGTAAGTATGAACAAAAGAAAACATTTAAATCATAGAATATTAAATTAATTAAAATAATTTTGTTTATAATTTTTTAGATGAATGTGAGTTAAAATTGTAATTCAATTGATGAATATATATTTTGGATATTTTATTATAGTTCATACAAGAATTTACACAATACATTTCATGCTGTATAAATATGTAGTTTCTTAAAAAATGCAATAATTTTATTTCATCACACAAATTGTAGACTCCTAATAGTTAGTCCTATAATTTACAGATCATCAAGGTGCTGTACAAGAAGTTTTTGTGGATATAAAAACAGGAGTAGAAGCTAAAAGCTACGAAGGGGCAAGTTTTTTGTTATATAACATAATTAGCTGTATTACCTGACTCCATCCGAGTTATAATTAATATATTTATTTATCGTTTAAATTTTTGGGATGAAAATGTCTTTTCCTTTAACTTGTCAGAATTGTTGCCCCTATGTCACTTAAGTGTGAATTTTTGACTATCTTATACCATTGCATAATTTTATCCAATCATAATTACTTTTTTATATCCTCTAACCAGTTGCAATCATATATTATGTTGATTCAGCTTTAGATTTAAAAAGGGGAAAATGTTTAAAAAAAACTTTTTAATTACTATTTAATACTTTTGTGTAACTTTATAAAATTGCTTATCCTTTAAAAAATTATCCACCTAATTTTAGGTATGACATAGGTTTTTTTAGAAACAATTTCTTAACTATTTTTTCTAGTATGTATACGATTGTCTTTATTAATTAACTCTGATAATAGATTGCTGAATCTTTTAAATTGAAACCCCTTGAGATGGATCTAAAGCGTTTGGAAGACTTTTCAGAAGCCATTGTACTAGAATTCAAGGATATGAAAATGCGTGCTGACGAAATGCGTAATACAAATGGTATTTAGTTATTATTATTAATACATATGATAATATGAGATATGCATTTTTAAATTCATAATTTTATTTATTTCAGAATCTACAAACAAGAGAGTCCTCTATTTTAGTTTGTTTAGTATGATTTGTTTAATTATGTTAGCAACTTGGCAAGTCTTTTATTTAAGGCGTTACTTCAAAGCAAAAAAATTAATCGAATAAGATTCAAAGACATCAGAAGAATAAAAAATAATAATACATTTTACTGTCATAATGTTTACACATGAATGCCAATTTTGAATACATTTATCATGTAATTCATTAAAAGTAGTTGTATCACATATTGTAAATACAAATTTCAGCATTTTGAATCCATTCATAGTTCTGTCCAAATCTCATTAGAACCAATCAATTTTAGTTTAATATTGACATTTGTAATGTTATTGAAAAAATATTATACCAATAGTAATTTATGAAATTATCGATTGGTGTAAGTCAAATAACTAATAATTCTAGGTATGGACTAATACCAAAATTGGATATAACTATGGAATGGACCTGACTCTACCAAAGTATAATGTGATGAGATAAAACCTAACTATTGAAGCATCATCACATTGTTATTTCTAGTCTTTATCTATAATATTGAAATAAATTGACTGTTTTTAATGTAATCATTTAAATTATTATTATGTTAATAAAATATTTTCAATTATATTCATTATTATTATAATAAAATATTTCTTGATACATATATTTTGTTAACAAACTTGTACTACTGTGGTGTAAAAATAAAATGAAAAAAAAAAAAAATGTTTTCAATGAATTATCAGACAATTATCAGATTAAATTTATAAAAATAGTATTTGATTGAATTCCAAGATTCCAGAAATATGATTTTATATTAATTTTCACCCTCATAGTGTGGTTTATAAATTAATGATAGACTATTAGTTACTTATGCAACATAAAACATACAAAATAAATAATAACTAAACAATAAAAATAATTCACTTATTATAATATTATTGTAATACAACGATGGTTGAATTTTAAACACGTTAAGAAATTTCCAACAAATATTATAAAATGACTTTTAACACGCTGAGTGCCAAGGTCAATAATTGACTGTGTCGACAAACTGATTATGCATCTTTACGCCTTTATATTTTACTTGAGTACAAGGCAACGCTTCTATATACATTTGTAGTTATTCATTGGTTTTTTTTAGAGCTACTCGGAAGTCAGACGTCAGCACATTTGATAACCAATATGACACTGCTATACAGGCAACGCATGTCAATTACTACGAGGCACTCAACGTGTTAATTAAAATATATTTTTATAGGAACAAAAATATTCTTTTTAGGGATATTATAATTAAAGAATTGTTCGCACTTGTAATAATTTTACAGTATAAAGAGATATGAAATGAACTTAATTATCTTTATGCGCACATAGTATAAGTATAAAATTATCAGAAAGTTGTCGTCTACTTATTTTTATGAAAAATGATTATACAGGTTATACAGTTGTCCAGCTAAACTTTTCAATGATATCTAATGCTATTTTTTTGTAGAATAATAATCAAAATGAAATAATTATTAAGTTTAAAAGTATATCCTTAAGTTTTAATCGATACATTTTGCTTATAACGATAATAATAAGTTTACAATTTTATTCAAAAGATTGGTGGTTAATATGCCTAAAAACATATGTGTTTTGCTTCTGATGAACTTTGTTCCATTGGGCAATATGGGCACTTTAATCTAAAAACAACAATTGAAATAATCATTGCATATACTATGCTTATGTTTTAAGAAATTTATCTTACTTAGTTGAGGTTCCTAATTTCTGTAAAGCATCTTTGGATATAATATGGCCACAAATAAGTCTCATAGGAGGATTGGTATCTGAACTTTGTTGTCTGAGAATAGGACATGCAAACATTGAATGATATCTATGCTCCGAGTCTAAATCAATTTCAATCTAAACACCAAAGCATATATTTATTAGTATCTACATCAACAAAATAACTTATTCAGTATAAATAAATTTACTTACAGGCAACTCGTCTTTTCCTTTCCAAATATCATTTACTTTCCGCTGTGTCATTACATGCTTGATATTTAAAAGTGCAGGGAGAGCTGCACAACCAGCATTAACACTTAAAAATTAAAATAATTATTACCAATATTACCTAGTAATTATATTTTAACATATTTTAATAATCTATATATTATTAATACCCAAGAATTTTTTTGTCCTACTGATTACTCTGCCTAAATACATTTATATCATTGAAAAGGTACAGTCGATTACATGAGCTCAAAAAAAAAAAAAATGTGTACCTATGTTTGTTCCCCCCTTAAGGCATATACAATTTGAGGTGAGAAATTCAACAGTAGCGCCATTTGTCAAGAAAATAAAAATTAGTTTAAAAAATATTCTTAGGTCAGGTCAAATATATTTCATAAAAGAAAATAACAGTTAGTTATTATTTGTTATTCAAATGTACATCAAAAAGCAACTTAAAATATTCAAACATTTTAATTACAAAATAACTGTTTTTCCAATGTAAAACATTCATATAAGTAAGTATAACGAGAAGAAGCACAAACGCCAAACTGTCAGGAAATGTTTCTTAATGTTTTTTTCTTTTTATCAATGGAACCTTTTTTAATTTCCACTTTTATCATGGAACTCCTGTTTTGTTTCAATAATATTAATGCAATCTACTCTAAAAAGATTCTTCTCAACAAAAATAACAATTATTTCAAATAACTATAATATTTATTTAATTCAAAAAATATTTTCAAAGTGTACCAAAAGTTCTTAAAATAACAGACAACCCAAACTTTGAAATTTGAATGAGATAAATGGTATTGCATTTCATTATTACGGATAAACTTAATATTAGGATGAAAGTTAAATTCTGAAGTCAGGTTCGGCATCAAGTCTGTTTCATCAATCTGACCTATTCCATTTTTGTCAATACATAAGCAGAGAACCCTGTTTCACGATTACATCATAATCAATATTATCGATCACAAACTTTAACTTGCTGGAGTTCAAAAGTAAATGGCACATGATAAATATAAAAATAAATTTTAATTACAAAATAAGTTACTAATTTTAATTTTATATTCTGTAAGGCCCGGCTGAGGCCAAGTCAGTTTTGCCTACGATGAGAGGTGAGCAATTTTCTTGAATGTTTTAAAATTAGCACTTAAGTTTCATGGAACCTCGAGCTTCTGCGGAACACAGTATAAGAGATACTGTTATAGATAGACTGTTGTATTAATTTTACAATTAAAATGATTTTTTAGCATCAAATTTTGACCAATGGACAATACTAGTTGCACCTCTAGAACAAGAATGCCACAACTCAAAGTTTGTTAATTTTGAGTTATGGTTACTTTTGAATACTAAAACAATAGATCTATTCAATGCAAAACCGCCACATTTAATATCGTTTTTTATTTAACCACCAAAAAGATGAGTCAATATTGAATTATATCATTTGTAGCTCATTTTCACAAGTAAGAGACCCATAATATATACTTTATGACAGTATACATATTTTAATTTATCCAATTAATCTCTCAAGTCAAAATTCAAGACAATTGAAATCTGTAGCGGTTTTGCACTAACTAAAAACTATATAACATTTACATAAATACATACATTTCACTATTGGTTCTCTCTGATCCACACCGCAACACGCCAAATTTAAGTTTAGCAGAACTAATTCTGTGTTATTACTTTTAATATTAATATGAATTCACATACTATCAAACTTTAAGTTAAGAACATTACCTCCAAGTTAGCTATTGTATGATCTTTTAATTTTAATGTCAGTTATGAGCATGTTAATTATTACAATTTAATAATGCTTATAAATTGCATAAAAATTAAAATATCGTAAAAAAGCCAATGTAAAGACACATGTAATGTTCTTATCTTAAAGTTAGATAATAGGTGAAGAATATTAAATACCCAAATATTAAATACAAAGTTGATTCAGCATAACATAAATTTGCTATGTTGCGAGTGGGTCAGAGAAGAAACAAATAATGTGCTGCTGATATCCTCTTAATAACAGAAGTTCTCATACTTATTAATTTACCTAGTTGTTTTATAAAATAGTGAACTCAAACATGTAGCCATCAAGAAACATTTTTTTTCTCAAATATTTTGAAAAATAAGTAAATAATTATTTAAGAAAAAATTAATAAGTGTAACTCTTGTAATACAATATTAAATACAGTTATTTTATAATAATTATAATCAATAGAAGAAATAAATGTTGTCTCCTTTATTTTGTTTATTTGAATTTAGTTTAGCCCTTCAACATTTGACGTATTAATATGTATTATATAGCACATAGGTAATTTGAATTTGTGACCACTGCCATAAGCTACCAATAATTAACTCATAAATAACAGAGTACTAGATTACTACATATGTATAAATAATGATTATACAAGTATTTTTGCAGTTTTTTGAACGAGTCAAATGTTTGAAGTTTTAAGTATCAGAATCTAAGGTTCTTGATTTCCATATATTCAATTTATAAAAAATGATTTCATCTAAGAATCAAATATAAAACAATATCATAAGCTTAAAAATGCAATGTATAGGGTCAATAACCAAATTTAATATTTTAGATACTTAAATAAATTGATAATGATTAATCATAATTTAACTCATTCATTCATAATCAAAAAACATTCAACATAATAAGATTTAATTTATAAATTCAGTAATTGCTTTTAATTAAAAAATGGAAGAAGTAATATTTTAATAAAACACAACTTAATCAATGCAAATTATTTCTAAAGAGTATTGTAAATTTAAATTTAATCACTACCTTAGTAAAATCTTAATTATTTCAATAATTATAACATTTTTGGTTATCAAACACATAACATTCTAAATATTTTTATTATTTAAACTCGATAACCAAATAGATGCAATTCATACTGAATAACAATAGTTAAAATAGTAGAATTATACTGTCTCATACAGGACAATAAGAGTAATCTCAGGTGCCAACTGATTTTGTCATGCTACACTTCTGTTTTCACTGTCAACTTTTGTTTCCAGCGAACGGCTGATAACGATAAGTTAATTGTGTTTATGTTTGTAAAATGAAAGCTAGGCAGGTGTTAAAATAATAAAGTGACATCCTCAAGCAGACCCTGCACATGTTGGCCATACCAATTGCTTCTACAATGTGCAGTAGCCTTTCTGAGGTTACTCTTATATGGTACAGAGTATAACATATCATTTGGACGTCTGGCTACAATTTCTAATTATTGTTATAGATTATAAGCTTATTTAATATAAATATCTATAGTACCTGACATTCAGTAAGCTATCAAAACTTAATCCAAGTAAAGTACAAGCATCCCTCGTAAATAATTCAATAACTTCGTCCCACATATTTTCTTGAACCATATCAGAGTATGGTGATTTATTGATTCCTTGTGGGATAAACAATAGCATACCCATCATAGTTTGAATTTCTATTGAAAAAAAAATTAATACATTTTTTCTTGTAAAATAAATTAAGTTTAAAAACCTTTTTCATATCTGTCAACAAATTGACTAAAATTAGCTCGGGCATATGCAACAGCTTCAGTTTGATGTTCAACACCCTTTTGAATAATTGATAAAAACGCAAGTTGATGAAGCTTAAACTCTAGAGCAGAACTCTATAACAATAAAACCAAGTATATTAAAATTAAATTACTACTACCTTGTTCACAGTTTAATTATTATTTTATTTCTTTACAAACCTTATAAAATTGTTGCAATATTTTCTTCGCTAATTCCATTCTCTTGATTTTTTTTGTCTTAGGCCTTGGTTTCATTATGCCACCAGAAAATTTGGTTCTTTTTGCATGATATGGAATACGAATAGGCAAATTTGAAGCCGATGAAATCCTTTTAACCAGTGGGTATGGAGGATACATCTAAAACAAAATGAAAAATAATTGTTTATATTATTATACTTATCAATATTAAATTATAACATTGTAGAAGAGTTTAAGATACAGGTTATTCTGTTGTAGTTTGGTATCAATCAGTGGAGTGTAGTGGTTAAAGCTTGGTAAGCGCAAAGAAAAACCAATTACACATTTTGTAAATTATAATTTAAAAAGAAAACATAAACTAACAACTCAGAATAAAAATTATTAAAAATTATTTAACTTTAATCCTATAGATGTCAAACAGGAAATATTATGTGATGGAATAACTTAATTATATTGCGTAATTGTATCTTTAAAAAACAATGGTTATCAGAAAATCCATTTCTATAAGCATTTATAATTGCTTAATGCAGAGCTTCCAGAGCCCCAACTGCTATGTAAAAACAAACAATGCCTTTCAGTCTACTGTAATGATATGAGCCAGGTAATCAAAAATCACGAGGATTTCTGTTAGCCTAACTATGTACCTAACTATACCGAATTAGCAACCATTTTTTTTTTATGTTTTTGTATAATATTAGAGTTAATTCACCCATTACAAAAATGATGGATAATTATATTTATGAGGATACAACTGATGTCATACCCTCGAAAATATTATCCACTTTAACTGTTGTAATAGGTGATTTAACTCCAAGATTACTCAAAAATCATAACAAATTATTTTAGGTGAGTGTTTTATTTCTCTTACACATTGGTCTGAAAAAAAATATTGTGCCACATCCTCCAAATTTCTTAAAAATATTTTGATCTATTACCTAAATAGTGTTAGCAAATTGAATTTAATACAATAACTATCACAATTTACAATTAATGCATATTAATATATTAAATTTATGACACTCATTTTGACAAGCCTAAGTTATGTATTTAAATCAATATTTAATTAATAATACATTTATTTGATTTCATTGTATATTTACCTGAGTATCTAACACTGCACGATTTTCTTTTGCCCATTCTAAAGCTGGGTAAATATTTTTTTTGATTAATGACTCTTTAATGTGTTTCAACTTGGCAAATGGTTCTCTAATGCTAGGTTCAATAACAATTCCAGATTCCTAGAAAAATGTGTTATTAGTTAATATTAAACGAGAAGTTTAACTTTTTTGTGAAATAAAGAATATATTTCTTTAATTCACAAAAAAGATGTTAACTAAGTTAACCGTTTAAAAGTAACTTACCCAACTAGAAATAAATATACATATTTTTAATTAACTAACCATTACAAGTTCATCAGCAATATCCAAGTTGCCTTGTCTATAAAAATGTTGACAAATAATATAGTTAAGAAATGTAACATTTTTTGGATCATTAAAAATATCCTCTTTACAAGTTGCATCAAAATCTGATACAAAATTCTGTAAATAAAATAAACATACAAATATTTACACAATTAGTTAAATTATAAATAATCTAAATTCAATTGAATCATACTCTGTCAATTGCTTTTCCCACTTTTGATACAGTACTATGTAGTTCTCGGTGTTCAATAGCTAATTGTTGTGTTTTTTCTTTTGATTTATAAATCAAATTTGATACATCATTAATTGATGACTCTTTATTTTCTGAAAAAGAAATAAGATTAAAAATACATTATAACTACATTTTACTAAGCAGATAATAAGGTTTGTTAAACACAATGATAAGTTTGTCTATATTTTTCTTTTCAACGCAATTATTTAAGATTTATTTTTTATTTAATTTGTCTACTTGATAATACTATTTGATGATATTTTTACTTTTGAAATTATATTTAAATATTAATTTGTTGGTTATACTAAATAACTTTAAATTTTAAAATGATAAATCAGTATTCAACAACTTTTTTTAAGCATAGAACTTTTATGGAATAATTATATTATATTTAATTTAGTTACAAATACAATATAATGATTATGTAAAATGTTCATACTTGCTTAGTACAAAACCAAGTATTATTAATACATTAGGTACTTATAAATAATTATCTATTGTGTCGATAAATAGATAATTATACGGAACAAGAATATTTAATTTAAAAAATAAGTAACTCATTAAAATAAAATTGTTTTGATACGAGAAGAAAATATGATTATAATATACAGAATATTTGCATATTATATTGAATGCATATTGAATTTTATGTTAATTAAAATAAGTCTAAACATTTTGATAATTGATTAGTTTAAATATATAAAAATGTGTCTATCAATTGTAGGTAAACATTACACTGTATCTGATATTTATTGTGAAAAACTAATGATGGTTAAAATCTTACCGTCTTTAATAGCATTTGTTCGCCAATCATTTTGTATTACTTCCAGACTATCAATCAATTGCTGCAATACAACATTATAGCTTTTACTCATATCTTTAAACCGTGATATTACTTTGTCGACCTCACGATCAACGGCTAAGCACGCATCCATTTCTAGAACCTTTAAAAATGAATTCAGTTAATATAGAGAGATAATAAAATCAAGGAAAATATCGGTTTTTAGTAGGTGAACATTTATTTCGTCAATTTGGATATAAAAACGATACAACTACGAATAGATACCTTGATGATTCTGAATATCTATCCAAATATGAAAACTGTTTTAACGGTAATATACACTTTTGCAAGGCGAGGAAATCATCTGCTGAAGAGTTAATAGTTTAAATGCGAAAATTTTCGTTAGCAATTATGTTACGAAATATTTTATGATTGCATTCACAATGTTTGACGCGGAATAAAACGCACATACATGGAGATCTCCAGTGAAATATTCAAACGCTTTCCTTTCTTCTATTCGGATTACGCTAATACGGCGTTAAAAAAATAATATTATCCGTCCGACGTTTGGAATAAATAACAATGCAATAAAACTGTACAATTATACTATCTATCTAATTACTTATAATTATAAGCACATTAAATCAGCGATTACAGCAATAATTGGCAGACGACAAACCCTCCGGCGCCCGTCCAGCGGAACAAAATATTATTATGCTCGTTATGGTTTTCAATGTTTTCATCAATATTTCCATGGCTTCGTGGACAAGCAGGCCAACGACGGGGTACGAATCATGATAATAAAATAATGCAGTATATTATGGTCGTACACAATATCCTACATTGACGCTGTAATCAACAACAGCAAAGTGCGAAGTGCCAATGCCATTGTTATTAGTTCGACGATGTTATCAGCTATGGTTGAAGGTGTGTGGCGCGCACAGATAAAAATAATAATAATAATAATGATAATTTGATATTTTCTGTGGTGGCGCTCGTAAATGCGTAAATTCTGGTATACCTATTTAATCTATGGTAATACCATACATAACTAGTATATACAGAGTGCTCAAAAATATTTCTCTCGACAGGTATAGGTTGGTCGTCGAGATTCGACTATTCGAGTGGAGGAGACGTAGTTGGAAATATAATACCTACGTAATACCTATTGTAATACATATTTATAATACCTAATTATAATGTGTAAATAATATTATTTAAGTATATTATTGATATTAATATTATAATATCATTATGAATCATGTAGATCCTTGGAGGTACATTAGTAGTATCTACCACAGTGACAATTATTAATTTATTATATTATACTATTTTTATTTTTTATTTTATCGGAAATATTTGGATGAAATACCTGAAAAAGTACTTGTATAAATTATAAACGATTTATCTATGTAAGCGTTACTTGCGATGGAGATAGAGAGTTGTACACGAAAACAAAGTAATTGTAACAGTCTTAAAAGTGGAATTGTGTACATACACTATACTAATGCCACAGACTATAATATATTAATATAACATATGACAATATACTTTTATACTTTCGATTAGTGTGTGCTAATACTATATTATACTATAATAATATAGTTTTATTATAAATGTGGTATTTACATTTTACACAATGGGTACTCGCAGTGGCGGTGTGAACTATTTTAATTTATGAGGCAAGTATAAATGCTCGACCACCACCATCTAAATTTTTTCACACAGGCCCGTGGGGGCTTCGCCCCCACACCCCCAAATTCACAATTCTACAACAGTAATATACTTTGTCATATTAATATCAGAAATATAATAAAATTACTCATAATATATAAATAACAATAAATCTTTATTTAAACAATAAATTGTCCCTCAATGAATCTGATGTTGCTACAAAAGTATCAACCAAAAATTAGGTCCACCACCTAAGTGATAAAGAAACAATAGTAAATAACTATCTTAAAATTTGTACTTGAGAATATTTAATCTGAAAGATTTTTAAAATTTTTATAACTACATACATTAATTGGCCAACATTTTTCAAAAATAGTAGATCGTAAAACCAATTTAATATTAAATTTTCCTTACTCTTAATATTATGATAATAAATTATCATCAAATTTTCAAAATTAAAAAAGTACATAATATAAAATAAAATTGATGTATTGAAAACACATTTAGCCATTCTTAACATTTTTTTTCTAAATGGGTTTTATAAGATTTTTTAATGTTATACCATCTATATTAGAATAAGCTTACATACATTGAATATCACTTTAGTATCAGATGATTAACATTTTTAATTTAAATTCAACCAGAAACAGCTAGTGAAAATATACAAAAACATTTAAAATATTTTTTTTGCATGTAATGCGATATGTGTACAATGTACATATTGTGTGTGTATAATTAAGTATATTTTATTTTATTACCTATTTAAATTATTAAACATTAACCAAAAACTATTAATTTAATATTTATACATTTTTTTAAATGGAAATACTTTATTATTAGATATTATTTTTGTAGGCAGAAAGTCCTTTTCCTATATAAATTCTTGAATAAGAACTTTTGTTTTAATATAAACATCAGTTAGGTATGTTTGAGTAAAAGTTGTCAGTGACTCGATTTCTGATTTTCTGTTTAATTGATGTAAAATCAACACCTAAACAATAAATTACTCATAATATATGAACTATATAATTATTTCAGGAAATTTATATTAAATAGTTTGTAATTTTTGCCATAGTAGAAACAAAACTGTCGGATTGAATCCCCAAAAAAAACCAATAAAAAGAATTTAGATTGATCAATAACTTACATATAATAAAAATACAGGTCTTTAAAATTCAATGCCTACTTGATTACTACATTTTTATTTCTACGTTTAATCCTTAAATTATTAGATGATACTTATAGAGATTTTTAATTAAAATTTAAATTGTGTACAAACAATAAATTATTGTACAAATTATATAAATTATTAAAATGCTCTACTGAGAATAATGAAGAATCGAATCACAATATTATATTAGGTAGATTACTATTACACACAATTTTAGGCACTACTATATTAGGTTGTAATATGTATATTTTGTACACTCTATATGTCTATTTTATAAATACTAATACACTAATACATAAATATAACCAATGATAATATATGGCATCTCCCTAGACTCTAATCCCTGCTATGACATTATTTAATTTTAGTGATACCTGTTGCAAAAGTTTATGATTGGAATTTATATAAGATCTTTTTAAAAGAGATCTCAATCGATCTTTATCCAAATTTGTTAATGCAATACTTGGTAGATTGAGTGATTCTATGTCTGTAGGATAAACCCCTAGCCACTTAATTGATGGCACACAAAGCATTTCATTTTGATGAACCATTGACTAAAAAAGAAAAATTAACAATCATTAGCAAAATTAAATATAGTGTTTTTATCACATACATTTATTAGTTAATGTACATATTAAATTATAAAGTAAATATGGTTGTTCCTTATTTCTTACATTAGAGCCAAATCTGTAAACACACATTATTTCTATACCGAAAGGATTTGCATCCACTAAGACTAATATTGGTATATTTAATTTACAAGACAACTGTTTCACAAACAACCTGGTATTAATATCAGGAAATCCTTTACCCTAAAAAATATTTTAATATGAGTAGTTATGTTCGGTGATAATTTTTGAAAAAGAATAAAATGTATATTTAATAATTATAGTACCCATATATGGTTACCGATATTATAACTTACAGTTATCATGACAAATGTACATTTATTTTTTTTCAACAACCCTTCGTTGATAATTTTTTGAAATGATGCATTTTTTTCAATTATTAGAATGTATTTTGCTTTTGATTCAAAATTGTCGATCTCTAAAATATCCTGAGGGATTTGTATTCCTAAAACCATGAAATAATAAATACCTATAATATCTAGTAGTAACCTACCTAAAAAATAAAGCTTATTTTCAAGTTCAAACTAAAAGTTATTAAGAATGTCTGAGTGTATGAGTGACAGTAAATGGCACATCGGTAGGTACCTAGCAAATAAATGACTATATAATCAGCCATTTATCAAAATAGGTAGTATTCAGCATCTGAGCTTAGAGCTACGTAGGTCAATTGTATGCTTTAATTATTGAATTGCTATGATACACAAGTACATATATTTTTGTTATTGAAATAATAAATTTAGAAGACTAAGAATTTATACTTTACCTTCGGTAGTACTAGAACAATCAATCATTTTTCCATTAGACATATAAATCTTTAGATTCCCTGCTACTAAACCACTTGAAGTTAATGTAATACCTAGTTCCCAAGATTTTGTACCCAATAAACAACATATATCTATGAGGGCCTTCCTTACAATATTACTATTTTTGAATAGAATTGTGTCTCCGTAGTATAGTTCTCTGAAATAATTGAAATAGCAATAAAATAAAATATAAGCACATCATAATATTTAAGAATAATAACACCACTCTATAGTCTATATTATCAGAATATTTATACACTTTTTTTTTTTTTTGTACCTAGGTATTTTTACTATGGATATTGATTTATATGAAAATTATATTTATACTAAAGACCAAACATAGGTACTATTTATATTTTAAAACTTTATATACCTCTCTATTATATACATAGATACCTACTTAAAATTCAAAAATTCACCCATTTATACATTATTAGTAAAGTTGGGGTGTTTATGCATCAAATAATTTTTCTTTTAGTTGTGTACATTGTAGTTAAAATTATAAACCTATTTGATTTTGCTGCAAAGGAAACTATATTATATTGTATTTTACATACTTTTTCATTTTAAATCTTTTTAGCTATCCATAAAAATATTTTTTTGTTATGACTGGGCATTTTTCTTGAATTTTAAATTTCAAGAATGATTTTAAAAATCTTATACACGTAAAAAATACATGTATAATATGATATGTACAATATTATTAAATAAGTATTAACAGAATAAAAATGTAATATTATTAATTATTTTTTTTATAATGAATTATAAGTCATTGTTAACAATGTATTGTCTATATTTTGAAGCTTTTATAGCTTAATGAATAGTTCAATTTTCAGTGCATTGTATAATATCTTAATTCTTAGGTGATTGTTTTAAAGACAAATTGGTATGCACGCTTCAGAGTTTTTAAAGTCAGAAACATCCTTACCCTAATAGGTAACTTACAAAAACTTTACTGGGTATTTTGAATTTTTAAAACTTATTATGTTTTTAATATTTCCAAACTACAGATGTGTTGCAATGAATATATAAATTCCTTATACATTATGCATTTTTAATTATCCAAAAAGTTATATAAAAAAAAAAAAAACATGAATTGTTAAACAAATGCAATTAGGTATGTCACATTTCAAATAAAAAAAAAATTACTAATTCAATTATAGATACCTATTGTCATGTCTAAGTTTATAGTTGGGGTTTTGAAAAATGGCAATAGACTTAAATACAATCAAATATTAATGTAAAATATAGTGTCTACATAAGAAAATATTATTAATTGTGATTTGTGATACACTTTACCTTGCTGTACATGATTTTTTTGTAATTAAATTTTTATAAATTTTTGATAAAAGGTAAATAATGATTGTGAAATTAATTCGACTTCGTTTGGTTTGAAATTTTAAAGTTTTAGTTATCAGATGATTTTTATCACCATACATGCAACTAGACCTACAAGAAACAAATATTTATAAATATATGCTACAAATTATATTAGCAAATTTGTGCATATTCAATCTATATAATACCTATGAAGGACGTAGATTTATAGCCAATTAGTAAATCAATATATTTATAATTCTTGTCTTATATAGGTATGTAGGTTACTCACCAATTTGAAAATTTAGTTAAATTAATCAAGAGCTTATTATTATTGCATAAATTGTTGACAACATTTAAAATTATATTTTCTATTCGCATTAATATTTGTTTTGTTCTTTCATTTTCAATATCATCTTAAAATTTGAAAAAATAAAAATTTTAATTTAAATTTATGTCAGCCCAACATAACCGTGGCAAATTTACAAAAGTAATGATTGATTACACACATTAATGTTATTTACTACTCACACAATATAATATTGGCACAACCCAAATGTGCATGTCATACGAGTTGCCTAAATATTACTCCTTAAAAAATGCTACGCTCCAGCCCGTCGAAGCTAGTGTGTTTTTTAGTATAAAAACATGTTTCATAAAAAAACTCTCAAGCCCTGTAGAATAGTCGGATTTCGTTAATTATTTTTTAATTTAAAACAAAAGAACATTTTTCAGGTCTGTTAAAAGCCTGATTTTCACAATTATTACTACAGCAGCTAAAATATTTGTTTACCAATTAAATTTGTCAAAAATATAAACTTGTTATTTGTTTAAATATTTGAATAATGCACATATTTTGTTTTATTTTAAACGTATTTTTCTAGCACTATTTAAAGTAAAATGGAAATTCGGGCTTTGATTCGATTTGTAAAAGTTCTTTTCTTTTAAATAATAAAAAAAACTAACGAAATCTGACTAGGTACTCTACAGGGCGCGAGAGTTTTTCCTGTAAAGACATTTTCGTTGATATAATACACTGTATCAATCCCCCTTAAACGAGTATTGGGCAGTAGATTAGAAGAAAAAATCATAATTAAGGTAGTACTTAATTAAAAAATAAAATATAGTTTTAGAAATTTTATAGGATTGAGGAAAATTGGAAAAACCGACACCGACACCCTTAAGTAAATCGCCTAGTAAATAAAACAATACACAGTTATGACTTATGGTCGATGTTGTTGACATTATACATAGTGGCCTCTCGTGAGCTATGATTACTCAGTGTACTTACTAAAATCCTGTGTACCTTATATGCCTCTATACGTGCCAACGAATTTATTTTACATCCATTATAGCGTCTAAAACATGTCAGAATATGCAAAATAAAATTGTATATTTAAAATGGATGCCTACAATTAAATGTCGTGTGCGTCTTTTAAATTCAGAATAAAATTCATTGAAATGAAAGATCATTAAATTCACTATTCGCAGAACTTTTATTACCTATTTATATATAATATACACAGATATAAGGTAAGGACATGGTTAATAGTGTAATAAATCAATAAATATATTAATATTAAAGGTAGGTATACCTAATGATACTTACTACTGGAATGCAATTTTGTATTCATTTCGCAGTTTTGAAATGATAAAATATTTTTATATTTCACCTAAATTAAAACCGATATTATACTAGTATAATATACGTCTTGAGCTTGAATTCGATAGACGTAATTATGGTAATTAATGGTTCAGCGTCTAGAGATATTAGCTAGTTCGTAGGTACATCACGCACTAAGATTTATCTTAGTCGGTGAGATACAATATATAGCCCATATAGGTATAATGTCATCGACCACGGTAAGTAACTACAAGCATAAACATGGAACATAAACTATCTACATTACCTACGGTTTTACATGATATATTTTTTATTTTATCCTCCGACTATCTGTATGTATCCATGTATTTCAAACTGTTTTAGCCCCTAAATATACCTAAATAACTAGTTTATGTAACGCTTCATAGTTCATACACATAGTTTGAGTTATTTTATTCACCAGTGAAAAGTAGTTGACTTCACCTTCATAAACGTCACAGAGAAGTGCCTTTTTCTAATATATATATATATATAGGTCGTAGGTATCATTTGTTTTATTGTTAATCTATACGTCATGCTACTATATATAGGTAGATTATGTAAGTTGTAATAGATACCTATACATCAATAATACCAAATCATTAATAGAAAAAGTCAGCAAGTATAGACATCATAAGCAGTATAACTAGGTGGAAGGTACCTTCCTACTAGCTGCTCTGAAAATGTAAAACTGGGTTCCACTTAAGCAGTTTTTTTCGTAACTAAAAAATCTAAGAAATTTATAAATACAGTTATTTTTTACAGACATTTTAAGTTCAAATTTGGACGAAATCGCTCAATAAAACAAAGAAAAACGTTTATCATTTTGTTGTAATTATCAGTTCCAAATCAAACCAATTTTACATAGGTAGGTATATTTAATCTTTTTCAGGCATCATTGATAATTTAAGAATAATATTAATTGAACTTACCGGCTACCATATTTTATAATAAGTAATACCAATATAAAATATCCTAGACTGACATACCGTCTCCATTCAGATTCGTTTTTCGTGTACAATGATTTGATATCAATTTAATACTATCCATAACAGCGACCTCTTAGACACCAAATGCTATACAGCAGATCGACATCCACTTACTCGCTTTTTATTATTATTTTTGGTGGTTTTCTAGTTTATTTATCACTGGTGAATACTTTGGTAGTTTGTTTCGAAAGTTATACTTGGCAAAACTTCAGAGATTGATAATTATATTTATCGTGTTTACTGTTTAGACTTAGGGCCGTTCTCACAATATCCGGTTAAGACGTGTCTGTTAACTCTAACCGACTGATACCAGATTTTATTACTGGCAGAATTCTGCCGGTTAATAATATCCGTTAACCGAAATTGGAAAAAACCAGCCTTAAGTTTTCAAAATATTAATATAATTATTTATTTTGTTGTTTGACTAAAAATATTTTGAAAATGTTACTATTCATAGAAATTTTGAGTTAAAAATTATAAACATTTGGCAAAAAATTCAAATACCTACGAAGTACCTATTTCAAGTATTCAAGAAATTAATTTAGACGAAAACTGGTTTTGCGTAAAACTTTTCAAATTTTCCTTAACTGTTTTTCTTTTGACGTCCAAAAGTAGACATTTATTTAGATGATTATGACAATATTGCTTCAATTTTAAATTTCAGTATTTTTTCCTATAGCAAAGTGAATCTAGTTGTTGTATTCTGCAATCTGCAGGTCAAAATGTACAGTATTTTTTAAAAGCGCCCGGAAAAACAAAAAAATAACTAAAGGAAAAACGGGAATTTTTACGCAAAATATCAAAACATTTTAAGATTTTTCATTCACGAAAAAAACTATTAAAATTCAATATTTAAGTGAAAATATAGTGTTTAGTTGTTATTGGTTTATTGTACATTTTCAAGTTTATTTATTTATTCACTAAAATATTAATTTAATTTGTATTGATTATTAGGCCTCACCGAGTAAGCTCGTTTAGATGCCCAAAATTAACTCTAATAATTGAAAATATTTTGGACCTTACATTTTATGTTCAATATCATTATTACGACAAGCAAGACCCCAGTCTTGTGACTTAGATTTAGATATATCAACATTATCAACCGCATGTTCGCATGCAATGTACCTATAACACTTTCTATTAGATTCCATCTCATAATAATTTATACAGAAACTATTTTCAAATAACATCTGTAGTTATAAATTCTCTATAATCTGCAATTAGATTGTTGGCAAATTTTAAATTTCATAGCGACAATCATACAGTGTGATTTTTAAAGGATGCTTACCCCGTTTTTTATGTTTGAACTATATGCATATTATAGGTACCTACTAAAATCCTGATTGTGGGAATTTTTAAGTAAAGTTAAAGACGATATTTTAAAATAGGTACCTAGGTATACTTCTATTTTTCACAACATTTATGAAGTATTCTGTGGCGGTCTAACGTTAGTTTTTAAAATGAGAATCTAGGTACATGTACACCTTTGAATGAAAATTGTGAATCATATGATTTTATTGAAAATATTGACGTATTACAGTCGAAATTTGATCGAAAAATTTCTAAGTTATTACCTACTTATTTTACTTTTAAATTTTAATACTATAGGATAATACTTTATTAAATGAATATTATTTAGGTACTTTTGTATTGAAAATTATTAAGTGTAATATTATAATCCATAATCATTTGTCTGGGTATATATGACTTTATAACTATAAATAGGTACTAATTTTCACTTATTATCGTTTCATATTATGTACTACTCATTTACTCGCAAACTCATCTATAACCTGACCTGCATCAATATCAGACTCACAAAAAATAATTATCGATCGCCCTAAACAGTTCTGAGAAATTGTTTTTCTCAATCAATTTTTGTGCTAGATACTGGTAGAGCGTATAAAATATGTATGACGTAATATGTAACTGAAAACTGTATATGTAACTAGACTAACTAGTAGTTCCTAACTACTTAATTTAATAATAGTATTAATATCTTAGATAATTTTTACCAACTCACCCACCATTTTAGGTGGTTCAAATGCACCACCTTACTCCTTAAGTATGTAAGTGCGTATCCAGCGCTACTGAATGTTGTGGTAGCCAATATCTAGGTATTTATAATTCAATAAAAATACTATTTACAGAAACATTTATTTTGATGTGCTTGACTTTTTGATCACTCTGTATGAAATGAAGTGTGTGTTTAATTGTTGTTTATATACGTACTCCAAAACTATAAGACCGATGTTGGTAAAAACTTTAGAGATTGTTCTTGAAGATACCAGACAATTTTAGAGAGTATTAGAGCTAAACCGCATAGACCATAGTCCATAGTAGTAAGGAATCATGGAAAAAAAGCCCAGAAAAAAAAAATTCAATATAAATGTGAACACATGTATACTCAGATACTCTACTCCTAATTAGTAATTACAATGTGGCATGTACCTATAACAAAATATAAAATATTATAATGAAAATAATGTCATCAATTATTATACCTAATGTATGTAGTACCTATGTATATACTTAAGATCATACTTATGTTATAATAAGGGTGCCCTTTATGTTTCTTGACTTATAACTTATAATACTGTATATTATGTATAGGTAGATGAGTTCATATTTATATTTAAATTGTTTTTACTATTACAACTTCCAAGTTGTTTTTTTAAATAATATAAAGTTAACCATAAGCCATACTCAGACATAACAATATTTATGTTTGAAATTTTTCATTGAATAAATAGGTAAAAAAAAAGTTTCTT